CCCGGGACGGCGGGGACCCGCGGGGCGCCCGGTCCCCCGCCGACACGATCCGCGAAGTGCAGCCCTCCTCTCCGCACGGGTCGTGCTCCCCTTTCTCGAAGGCTTCCCTCTGTGGCCTTCCTTAATCTTTTCAAGCGCATCTCAGTCCAGGTTTTCTGTGTTCCGATCTCTGCTAAGCTGTGTTTTCTGACCCTCTGGGACAGCCGAGCTATTTGTGTTTATGGCCTCCTAGAACTGAGTTTCTTCAAAAGTTCAGATTAGTTACTACTTTCAGGCCTGGTGTTACACACAGCCCTTCCCTTGTGGAGGAGATCATCAGGACGGGTCGTTCAAGACCCCTGAATGTTTTAAGTGTCAGACTTGGCTTTCCCAGTCACCACCTTTTCTGCACATGGTTCCCAAATTCAGCAGCTGGTGGAATTCCAGAACTAGGTGTGAGCTTAATTCCTTCTACTTTATGTCACTGTGTTCAGGCCATCTGTACACCCGGCCGGCTTTGCCTCCTTCAGCATATGGGTAGTTGGTTCTTCAGCTATCTTGTTTCACACCCCCCACCATGTAGTCCTGCCTGGACTACTACTAAGTGCAGTTTAATGAAATTGGGGCTAGGCTAGCTGGGCATAGCCACTTTGAAATTGTATGCAACTGTATTTTTTTGTGGTGCTGTGGATCAATCCCTGAGCTTTGTGCATGCTGGGCAAGCACTCAACCACTGAGCAGACCCTGCCTTTCTGTTCTTGTCTCTCTGTAATCGACTCCATTTATAGCAGACAGATCTAATATGTCTCTTCTCACTCCTTTGCTCAGAATGCTCCATTAGCTTCATGTAGAAAATCCCAAGTCCTTATGGTTGAGGGAAAAAAAGGCAACCAGGATGGCTGGCTCAGGATAAGCAAGAAAGACTGATGGGAAATGAAGTTGTAGAGGTAAGCATGCGTTAGACTGAGGATACAGGGGGCAGGTACTGTGTGGATGCAGACCAGAGGGGACTATGAGTAACTGATCCACCTCCTTCCAAATTAGCTCTTTATTCCAGCTCCCTGGATGCTTACTCAACATTTTTCATATAGAACTGTGACTAGCAATTCTGCTAATTTTGGGTTATAGAAATCAATGCTTTTTGCATTAAAGTGGAAAATCTAACAGGCTGCCTATGTCCAAAACTTGAAGTCTGTAGTGATCATCATAGTGTAATTAGTGAAATCTCTATTTTGACAATGTCAGAATTAAGAGTTTTTAATATCCCTTGATTCAGCAACTTATAAAAATTTACCATACAGCAGCTCCTAGCCTAGATTGTGAGCATTTTATATTAACTCATTTAATGGCCATACCAATCCTTTAAAATTAGGAATTATTATTATTATTATGTGAGACCGCACAGCAAGCTAAGCGAAAACAACAACGCACATAGATAGTCTTTATGTGGAGGAAAAAAGAAACAAAATGTGTCAGGTTATGTGATCAGGGCCCCTGGAGAGGAGCAGGGGCCTAAGAAGTAGGCAGTAAGTTTCGCCTCCCTATCCCCCACTGTTAAGAGTAGTTTTTACCTTCTGGCATGTTTGTCTTTTCTGACAGCTTTTAGGACAGTTTCTCCTGAACTATTTGATGGATATTATTCCTTTGTTTCAAGGAAGCTTTCTTATACTTGAGATGCTCAATCATCTATACCTCTTGATTTAGGAAACCATAGTAACTGGAAAGTCAAAATCAGATGTGAAACAAGGTGGCTTGGAAGTAATAAGGAATGTGTATGGTTAAAGTCCTGAAGAGCCTCACTGAAAGGAAAAAGTGAGGCAAGATGATGAGCCAGAGAAAATGAGTAAGTGAATGCGAAGGAGAGGTAGGGCTAATGAAAGGGGAGAAGAAGTCATGTTGGCACCTGAGCTTAGCCAGGGGCCGAGCACCGCTGGGAACAGGCTTACTTGGTGAAGGCTCTTGTGACCCGTGGGTCCCACTACCACTCTTGTTCTTGTCTGTGTGGAAGAAGGCTGTGTGCCATAGCCCCAATTCTAAACTCTGCTGAGCAGGTTCTTACTGTGCCTGTGTGGCGAGGAGCCCAGGCCGGGAAGGGGCATGGACGGTAATCCGTGTGTACCACGTGCGTGCTGCGCCTATTTCAGAGTGGGATTTGAAGTCTGCAGGCTGCACTAGATGCCCTTACCCGGCAAGTTAACAGCGGAAGGACACTTAACTATGTGCAGTCAGGGTGGCAAAGCCCTGGTAGGTCTAGTTTCCCCTCAGTCCTTCAGCTACGATCATGCCATAGCTGAAGGACGTCTGCTGTCTCATCAGCCCACGCTCAGTGTATCACTTACCAAGGCATAGTGAGGTCTTGGGTAGTATTTTGAAACACCTGCGATTGTTGTTGGCATCTTTTCTTCGATTCCACTGCTATTTCTCAGGGAGATCGGGAGCCCTGGACCTATATATCTTCTAGGCTCTTGGAGTTACTTCTACTGCAGGGCCTTAGCACCTTTGTCCTCACTTCCCAGCGCCTGTTGCTTTTTTTCCTGACTTCTGCTTCTGAACCTGGTCTAGCACAGTGTTCCTTTTTTTCATGTGCATGTACTTGCAACTTGACTTTGATTTCTGAGTGTCCTCTTGGTGTCTGAATTCCCACCTGGGCAGTTAAGCACATTCTTGTCTGCTTTGCTTACCATTTCATCCCAGTGCTTGGTACCAGGCAAAGAGCTGCTAACCCATGGCCTCCAGCCCACGGGTTAAATCAAGCACTAGGCAGTTCTAGAGATTTGCAGCCAGGAAAATGGTCATTTCTCCTTTGTGGCTGAGGTGGCGGTGTTGTTGCTGATTTCTCAGCATTTAACTAGGTCACTTAAGAGTGTTGCTCCTCTCCAGCTCTTGTGCCACATGAGGAAAACGAAAATGTGTCAGTGTTCTTTGTAATCTGCACAGGTGGCAGTTTTGGCAATCTACCCTCCCCCTCCTCCCTTTTGAGACAGGCTCTTGCCTTGTAGGCCATGCTGGCCTCAGATTGGGAAACCCTCTTGCCTCAACCTCCCCATTGCTGAGATTATAGGCATGCACCATCATGCCTGACCTTTGTTTGCTTGTTTTGAAGCCTAGAACATTCAGGTAATATTTTCTGCTTATTGTCTTTTTCTTTTTTTCATTCTGTGTAAATGCTTAATAGAAAATAAACCTAAAAGAATGGTGAGAAAAGAGAAAAATAATACCAGAATCGTCTTGGAAAGTTCCCTGGGGTGACCTTTTTTGTATGTTCTTTACAGGAAGTGAGTGTTGACTTTGAAGCTTACTCCATCTCAGACAGTGATCATGACGGAATTAAGAAATTACTACAGCAGGTATTGTCTGTTGTTTGTCACCCACACCTTTGCCCTTCTGAGAAAATCCAGCAATTCAACCCAAACGCTCACATTTCATCCTTTCAGAGCTCTGGTTTCTAGCCTCTGCACTTCACCTGGAAGAATTGTTTTTCTTCTCCAGGGCTAACCTGGTTGTGCTGTGCTGCTAGATCCGGACCCCTGATTAATATGTTAAGTTTACTGTCCTCAAATGCCTTCCTTCTCATGTGCTGATCTGCTTGAGCTCCTGTTGTTTACTCTTCATTCACACCCAGACTTTGTGGCATTGGGTTCTTACATAATAGTCATTTGCCTGCGCTCATGGTGCTGCCTCAGTTTACTTTTTCCTTAAATAAGGCTGTGTCCCTCTAGGCTGGTCGGCCCCTGGTCCCTCCCTCTCTTCAGCCTTTCCTTATTTGCCCTTACTGACTGAAATACCTTAACCTTTTAGCTTCACTGACTCGCGCTTTTCTCTTCCTGTTGAGGTTGCTTTTTCAGGTTATCTTCTTGGTTGTCTTTTATTTGAATGAGGGATATGATATTTTATTAAAAAATTTTTTGCTTTGATCTGAATTTAAATTTTCTTCTCCATTTTAGCTTTTCCTAAAGGCTTCTGTGAACACTGCAGAACTAACAGATCTCTTAATTCAACAGAACCATATTGGGAGTGTGATTAAGGTAAGCTGGCAGCTGTGTTTACTCTGGTGAGGGTTCTTTCCTCCTGTTCAGCTCTAACGGAGGGGGAGATGGGCAGAGGGAGGCAGTGTTTGGTGCTGGTCCCTGCAGCCGTCAGGTAGCGAAGCGCAGAGAGAGACATGGGCTGACTCAAGTTCTGTGGGAGGTAAAACAGGGAGGTGCTTATGGGTGGGCTTTGAGAGAGAGAGAGAACAGGAGTCGAGGTGGCTGCGTTTCTGGCTTGAGCAGCCCGGTTTGTGGGCACAGAGGAAGGGCTGGTTGGGAGCAGGTTTGAGGCTCTGCCTGGGAGCATCTTGAGTTTGAGGTGCCTGCGATGTGTGCGCGTGAGATACTGAGCAGCAGCTGGTGCCTTGGAGACTTGGGCTCGCAGGTCACAGTGGTCGATGGGGTTGCCCAAGGAGGGCAGGGCACAGACACGCTGGTAATACCAGCAGCATGCAGATGAGCAGAATAAGCGGCAGGACCCACAGAAGAGATGGAAAGGATGGCAAGGTGATAGTGCCGCACCTCTGCGGTCCCAGCTGCTCAGAATGCTGAGGCCTAGAGGATCGAGGCTCCAGGTTGGCCCAGGTGGGAGAATCAGGGAAACCCTATCTTCTGTTAGCCAGCTGTCAACAAGAAAGCTGAGGAAGACTGCAAGGCTTGAGTTCAAGCCCTGGAACTGGCACGTACATACGAGAGAGAGGTGGGTAGAAGAGCTGTAGAGGCAAGGAAGGAACATTTGAAGGAGGGGAAGTTGTCATAAAACATCGTAAGGGTCCAGCAAAACGAGGCTTTGCTGCTTATCACCTGGGGGCTGGAACTTGTAAGTCCCTTTGTCAGGTGCGAGTCACACGGGCAGTCGTAGAGCCCTTATGTCCTTTGGTTTAGAAAGCAACAGCAGCTTCATGTCATTTCACTGATTTAGCCTGAGTTCCTGGAACCTTTTTCCCATGCCAGGCTCCCCGCTGCTAGGACAGTGAGTGCAGCCTAGAGCCACACCATTGGCACACCAGTCATCCCACACCACATGGGAGGAGAGGCTGGTGGTGCCAGTCCAGTAGTGGTGGGGAGTCCCACGAGACTCTCGCCCTGTGCTACCTAGGATCCCAGCCCTGGAGGGAAGCCCACCATAGGTGAGGTGTGGCTCAGGCAAACACCAGGGTGGAAGAGAGGCCCAGTCCTAGAAATAGCCAACGAAAGACAGGGCTGGAGTCCTGGCTCAGAAGTATCACACCAACCTTGCCCCTGATGGGAGTGGGAGAGAGGGAGGGAAGAGGAAAGAGGAGGCATGCAGACAGGCAGTAGATGGAAGGAAAGCTGAACCATGCTTTAAGCCTGTCAGGAGAGTCGACATTCAGGTTGAGGCCAGCATCTGATGATTGAAGTTGACTGAAGTCACTATCTCATTCTTGTTTTTTTGACGCATCGGTTTCCTTTCTGGCTCAGGATTTCTTCTGTCCTGCCCAAAGTTTCAGCGAAACTTAAGCCTGCTCACCTTCCCTAGTGGTCAAGTGCTCTGAAAGCGTGAGTTCTAGGTGGGTCAGTCTGTGGACCAGAGAAACAAGCAAAGACTGGCTCCAGCCACTGTTCAAAAACAAGTGATTTCACGAGTTTCTCTCTCTCTGGGATTCATAATATAGTGAGATCTTGGAGAACGAGAATGTCCTAAGAATCTGGTATAAAGAAATCTAGGGCAGTGCAAGCTTGTCCAGATATGGAAAGGCATTGATTACTCACAGAGCTTAGGATGCATTGCTTTTCTGAACTGACACTTTGCTTTTGAAAATAACAAGACCTTGATTTAAAATTTTTATATTAAGCTTTTCAACCAAATACACAATTGAAATACTTTTTCTTTTTAAAATAGCAAACAAATGTATCAGAAGACAGTGATGACGATATGGATGAAGATGAGATTTTTGGCTTCATAAGCCTTTTAAATTTAACCGAAAGGAAGGTTAGTTGTACTGGGTGACGTCTGCATACTTACACCTTAGGCTGAAACTGGCTCTATTTAATGCATGTTAAAAATGCCTTTTGTGTCAGAGAACGAGTGTTAAGGATGTGTGTGTGGGTGTGCACACGGGCGTGCGCCCACTCTTATAACATTTATTGTAATCCCTTTTCAGTGAAGGTGTTGTTTGTCTTGCATCGTGTGACTATTCCCCGGGGTACAGTCAGGCAGCATTTTGGGCTTTGGGCGCCCTGCAGTGCCTGCTGCCGCCTGCCTGCAGCGCGCTGTGTATACGCTGAAGGTTTGTGGCTTTCTCAGGTTGAAGGCGCTTCTTGACATTTACTTGTTTAATCTTTTTAATGATTCGCCGTTGAGTCCTAATAAAAACCATGCCAGCTACTTATCCCTTTGTGAGTAAGACTCATGCTACACTTAATCTGCAATTTTAAAAACAAACTCTGAGTTAATTTTCAATTGCCTTTGTGGGATGGGCTAGGATTGCCGGTGCACTGTGCGAGTGTTGATGGTAACCTTGGCTTGCCGACAGTCATGGGTGGTAAATAAGCAATTGTGGTTCTTTTTTGGGAAAAGGGCAGCAACATTCCACATTTTAAAGGCGGTGGCACTAAGCTTCCTTGGCCTTCTTTTTCTCCTTGCTTTCTAGGGCACCCAGTGTGTGGAACAAATTAAAGAGTTGGTCCTCAGCTCCTGTGAGAACAACTGTGGCAAGAGTGTGGTTGAACATTTGGAGAAGCTTTTAAATGACACCACCAAGCCGGTGGGCCTTCTGCTAAGTGAGAGATTCATTAACGTCCCTCCCCAGATTGCTCTGCCCATGCACCAGCAGCTGCAGTAAGAGACTGGAAAACGCCTTCCTCCTAACAGTCAGTTCTAAGTACATGCAGGATGTGTGGCTTAAGTAGAATGTGTAGGTATAGAGGGAGTAATAGCCTAGAGGAAGCATGTTTAGTGTGAGGAGAGAGGAATTCTGTGAAGCTCATCATTCCTGATGAGCCCTTAGGAGGATCTAATGTCACCACAATCATGTTACTGTTTTAGAAGACTTTATAAACAGTGTAGAAATCAATGGATTTCCAATGGGTAATCTTCTTACCTCATAGAAGTCACATTTCACATTCACAGATTTTTTTTTTCTTTTTTTTTTTTTGAGTCTGGTTGTGGGGCCTGAACTCTGGGCCTGGGCGCTGTCCCTCAGCTCTTCTGCTCAAGGCTAGCGCTCTTACCACTGGAGCCACAGCACCATTTCCGGCTTTTTTCTTTTTGCTTATGTGATGCTGAGGAATCGAACCCAGGGCCTCATGCATGCAAGGCAAGCGCTCTACCACTGAGCCACCTTCCCAGCCCACATTCACAGATTTCTAATGTGAATAAAACTTCCAACAGGACAAACCCCCAAATTCCTAAATTCCTTTGGTGTATTTTATATCTCATGAAAACATAGTGTTACTGTACCTCTCACTCCTGAGGTTTCTAATATTGTTATTGTTGTTTGTTTAGTGCAGGAGGTTTAAGTATGCAAAATATTTACGCAGGGTTAGCTGGCCAGGTGAACTGTGTTGCCTGTGCACTGACTCTGGGTCAGACGCAGTGCTCCTGTGTGGCTTCTCAGGGCTCTGGCACTAAGTGTGGGATCACACCAAAGTCTTGGAGTATGCCACACACTTTGTCCACTCAGTGTGCTCCAGATGAACTCATTCTCCCCTCAGCTCCACTCAAATTCTGTTCCTGATGCCTTAAACATCTCGAGTCTGCAGTCTCCCGGATGCCTGTTGTAAATTTGTTCTTTTCTCTAAACTGCTGAGCTTATGGTTATTTGGTCTTGCAAGAAGGTGATCTCCTTTCTATTAATTTTCTATTGGAGTTGAAATGAGTTGTTTTCCTCAGCTGTGGGTTTGAACTCAGGGCCTACGCGCTGTCCTTGAACTCTTTTGTTCAAGGCTAGTGCTCTCGTACTTTGAGAGCTTCTATTTTTTTTTTTTTACACTGGAGATAGAGTCTCATGGCCTTTCCTGCCCAGGCTGGCTTCAAAGCATGATGCTCAGATCTCAGCCTCCTGAGTAGCTTGGATAACAGATGTCAGTTACTAATGCTACAGAAGTTTCTTTACTCTTTGGTTTAGGAGTAGCCCTGTATACAGGTTTAGTCTAATTTTTGGAAACCTTCATTTATTATTCTAGAATTCAGGGTATTCACTTCTCTTCGACTTTTATAGCCTATCAGAAGTGAGTCTGCGCTTATGAGAGCCTGTAGCAGTCATGTGTTGTAGTCACACCGATTCTGACCACATGCCTTAGTATGTCTCTATTCAGTGGTCTTTGCTCAACAAAACAGGTTCTCAGATATCTGTACTTTACCAAGAGCAGCGAGCTTGAGATTCATCTGTTAGTTGTGCTTCATGTCCATAAACTCAGATTCCTCACACTACTGTAAACATTTAGAATGCCACAGTCATTCTAAAGTGCAAGCAACTGCATGAAGTCATGGCTTTACAAGTATCCATGAGATGTGGGGTTGTTAGGCCTGTGTTTGGCAGCATCTGCTGAAAGCACCTCCCTGATTCTCTGCAGTCTGGTTTGTGGACAGAGTTAACCCAGCCTAGCAGGTAAACATTCTGTACTTGCCTCACAGGAAAGAACTAGCAGAGGCACACAAAACTAACAAGCCTTGTGGGAAGTGCTGCTTCTACCTGCTGATCAGCAAGACATTTATGGAAGCAGGAAGATCCATTTCCAAGAAGGGGAGCACCCAAAAGGATGTCTTAATGTTCGCAAATGCAGAGGAAGAATTCTTCTATGAGGTAATAAAACTATCCCATTTCCTGTTTAGATGTCAACAAGGATTTTCTTGAAAGTAATCAAGTTTTGTTTTTCTCTCATTTTATGCCAAAGTCCTTCAAAGTATGACTATTCATTTCTATGACCCCAGAAAGCTAGTCACCAGCCTTTCCACCCCTCTGTAGGTAGTAAGCATAGGGAGGAGAGAAAAGACTACCGTTTGGAGGCTGACAAGGCCGTGTGAGACACGCTGTGATGTGAGCTAGACAGGATGGGTGAGTGGGCGATCATGGAGGGGGCCGGAGACCACACGCTGTCGGTGCAGAAGCTGGGTGTCCTTGTTGCTGAGGCCCCTGTGTGGGTGTCACATCACTGATGGGAATCTCAGCATTGCTCCTGTTTAACAGGATTGTCCTGTGACAGACCCCCTGGGTATTCTTACACTGTCTTCTCAAAAATCTTAAGTCCTGGCGGGGAGGGGGCACAGCCGGCATGTTTTTCAGAATTGGATCACAGCACTTATGTTTAGGATTTCCATTGACAAGGCAAGGGATACAGATTGGGCTCTGCCCTTGTGTTCTAGGAAGAAGTCAGTGAAAGTGTGTGTGTGTGTGTGTGTGAGTGTGTGTGTGTATGTGTGTGTGTGTATGTGTGTGTGAGAGTGTGTGTGTGAGTGTGTGTGTATGTGTGTGTGAGTGTGTGTGAGTGTGTGTATGAGTGTGTGTGTGTGAGTGTGTGTGTGTGTGAGTGTGTGTGTGTGTGAGTGTGTGTGTGTGTCCTAAAGGTGTTTTGTTCCTGTAATCCCAGCTACTCAGGAGGCAGAGCTTATGAGGATCATGGTTGAAGGCCAGCTCCAGTGAAAAGCTATCAAGATACCCAACAAGCTGGGTGTGGTGATATAAGCCTGTAATCCCAGCTGCAAGGGAAGCATAGGTAGGAAGATTGCAATCCAGAAGTTTCCCTGGACAATAAGAGCACAAGACATTACATGAAAAATAACTAAAGGCAAAAGGGACTGGGGGCATGGCTCAAGCTATCAGGACTTAGGTGGAAGACCCTGAGTTCAAATCCTAGTGCTGCCAAAAAGTACTTACACTTCCTAGAGAGTTTATACACTCAAGAAAAAGTAAGCAGAAGAAAAGTTGCTTGATGGTTCCCTTTTATTTTCTAATATTTCTTTTGATGATTTTCTTAAATAAGAATTTGGTTACAAATATAGAAATGCTAAGTGGGGAAAAACAGGTCATTTCCCCTAAAGTCAGGAATGAGACAAGTGTGTGTGTGTGTGTGTGTGTGTGTGTGTTTAAATAGACACCTCAGCACTGCAGGCAGGCTACCTGGGGATGTATGATGTCAGCAAGTGGCAGGTCATGTGGCCTTCCTCTGCATTCACAACAGCTTTCTGCTAGGAAGCAGCAGGAGTGATAGGAGCATTAGCTGATTCTTCCTATTAACGGACACGTTCAGTCTCAATTTCACTCACCTTTCATAATCATATTACTGCAGAATCAAATGAAAACATAAAGTTGGGTGCTGGTGGCCCAAACCTGTAATTCTAACTACTCAGGATGCAATCTGAGAATCACAGTTTAAAGCCATCCTAGGCAGGAAAGTCCATGTGGCTCTTATCTTCACTTAACCACCAAAATGCTAGAAGTGGACCTGTGGCTCAAGCAGTAGAGCACCAGCCTTGAGCACAAAAGCTCAAGTAGGTTAAATGTAGGTTAATGAGTTTTGTCTTTGCTTAGCCACATTTCTCATTCCTGCTTCCTCTTCTGCTGTAGAAGGCAGTCATCAAGTTCAGCTACTCAGTGCAGGAGGAAAGCGACACTTGTTTGGGCGGGAGATGGTCCTTTGATGACGTGCCGATGAAGCCCCTGCGAACCGTGATGCTGATTCCTGGAGACAAGATGAGTGACATCATGGAAAAGCTGAAGGAGCACCTGTCTCTCTAGCCCACTTGCCACAGACAGCGGCGGGCTTGTTTGTAAAATGATGAGAAACCCGAGATTTACTGAAAAACTCACCACTTTATTCAGATTAAGGTCCTCTACAAAAAGTAGGGCTCTTTTTTCATGTGTCCATGACACACTTAGAAAATGTTGATTTCAATTTTGGTCAAATTATGAATGAATGTTTGATTAAAAACTTCCAGTATGAAGAATACATGGAGCAGGTAATTTAAAGAATGCAATAAAAACTCCTATTTTTTTATTTTAAAATCATACATGAAGTGTCATTTCTTCGGGACTGTCCCGTGTTCGCCGTATCAGCCTGTGGCTCTGGGCACGGCGTGGGCTTGCTGTGGGCTCGCGGTGGGGTCTGTGTTCGCCTGTGCCTGCTGAGCACTCACTGAAGAGTGCATCTCTGTTCAGGAGTGTCTGGGCACTTGTCGCACGCGTCCTCCTCCTTCTTCATGGTGGAGAGCGGGGACAGGTGGTCCATGACTTGCTGCAGAATATCCTTGCTTTCACTAGGAGGCAGATTACTGAAATAGTACTGTGGTGCCAGCTGCATAAATCTGAAACAGATAGGAATGTGACGCTTGGGTCCTTCCCAGCCTCGGAGACCCGAATTTCATTTGAACCCCTCAAAAACACAGCCGCCTTTCATGAAGCCAGTTCAGCTACATTTCTAGGGTACATGGGCTTCTCTGGTGTTGGCCCATGAAGTGGAGGTGCCGTCTGGGTGAGGCAGTCCACAGTCCCATCACCGTATGGGGGGCAGGCCATCTGCTGGGGAGAGCATCAGTGTTGCTCTCGGGATCTGACAGCTCTCGTGGCTTCTGAGAAACCAGTCTTCATTCCATCACTGCCCCTCCTAGCCGGTCTCCACTTGGCAGCAACAGATATCTAGAAGCATGGAGACGTTCATCCTCTCACCTGAGACCCCGTTTGCTGTGGACGGCACTTGGGATAAAGCTTAAACTCTCCGTGGCCTCTGGGGCCTGCCTGCCTCTTCTGTCCCCTTCTCTGCTCTCTTTTCCCCACTAGCTCCAGCCACCAGGGCATGTCTGTTCCTGAAAGCTGCTAAACTCATTTCTCCTCTGCCTCCCCTGCTGCCCTTAAAGACATGCTTTATTATTTCTTTTTTTTTTTTTGGTCGGTCGCGGGGCTTGAACTCTGGGCCTGGGTGCTGACCCTCAGCTCTTCAGCTCAAGGCGAGCACTCTACCACTTGAGCTACAGCGCCACTTCCAGTTTTCTGGTGTTTTATTGGAGATAGGAGTCTCACGGTCTCTCCTGCCCGGGCTTGCTTTGAACCGCGATCCTCAGATCTCAGCCTCCTGAGTAGCTAGGATTACAGGCGTGAGCCACCAGTGCCCGGCTTATGCTTTAGTATTTCTGCACTAGCTTCTCTCTCTCTTTTTTTTTTTGTGTGTGTGTGTGTTATTCTTGGGGCTTTACTAACAGATGACCACAAACATAAATATATCATTTCACAATCTGGAGACCATAAGTCCAAAGTCAAAATATAGTACAACTTTTTTTTTTTTTTTGGGTCCAGTCATGGGGCCTGAACTCTGGGCCTGGGCGCTGTCCCTCAGCTCAAGGCTAGGGCTCTACCACTGGAGCCACAGTGCCATTTCTGGCTTTTTTCTTATGTGGTGCTGAGGAATTGAACCCAGGGCCTCATGCATGCAAGGCAAGCGCTCTACCACTGAGCCACCTTCCCAGCCCTTAGCTTCTCTCTTTAAGTTGCAGTCTCAGGCAGTCCTATTTCTTTTGGGGGGGGTCCAGTCATGGGGCCTGAACTCTGGGCTTGGGCGCTGTCCCTCAGCTCTTCAGCTCAAGGCTAGCGCTCTACCACTTGAGCCACAGCGCCACTTCCAGCTTTTTTCTTTTTGCTTATGTGGTGCTGAGGAATCGAGCCCAGGGCCTCATGCATGCAAGGCAAGCGGTCTACCACTGAGCCACCTTCCCAGCCCCAGGCAGTTCTATTTCTTAGGCATCATTCAGAGAGCTGCCTGTATCCTCCAGGTAAAGCAAGATGTATACATGTATAAATGCCTTATAATAAAATGGAATAGAAACCAAGATTGTCATACTCCTGCAAGTGTAAATTCAAGCCTCATTTCTTTTTTTTTTTTTGGTCATGGGGCTAGGCTTGAATTCTGGGCCTGGGCACTGTCCCTCAGCTTTTAGCTCAAGGTGAGCACTCTACCACTTGAGCCACAGCACCACTTCTGGTTTTCTGGTGGTTACTTGGAGATTAGAGTCTCACGGACTTTCCTGCCCGGGCTTGCTTTGAACCGCGATCCTCAGATCTCAGCCTCCTGAGTAGCTGGGATTACAGGTGTGAGCCACCGGCGCCCAGCCCCTTATTTCTTCAAACTTACAGTTCAGGAGAGATTGCTGAGGTGACCCTGATGTAGTTGTTCTCAGAGATGCTGAACTGATGGAAGAGGACCCACTCGGGCATCTTCTTGGTGATGGAGTAAGTAGATAGGGGATGCAGCTGCGCAACCTGCTTGTGAGTTAGCATCAGGTAGTTACCCGCCCCGTCAACGTCCCGAGCGATCTACAGGAAGCGTTTTAAAGAAAGTAGACTTTGCATTGGTATGTTAAACACACAAAACACTGAGAACATTCAAAGTACTTTATACGAAGAGTTAAAAACAAATTTGCCACCTATGTTTCCTGTTTTCAGATACAGACAAATGGTATTTTTTGCCCAAACTTTTGAAACATGATGACACTAACTTAGTGCTAAAATGGTGGAGCTTCAAGGTTTAGGTCAAGAAGTAGAACAGAGCTGGGTGCTGGTTATCCTAGCTACTAAGGAGGCTGAGATCTCATGATTCAAAGCCAGCCCAGGCAGGGAAGTCTGCAAGACTTATCTCTAGTTAACCACCAAAAAGCCAGAAGTGGGGCTGTGGCTCAAGTGGTAGAGTACTAGCCTTGAGCACAAAAACTCAGGGACAGTGCCCAGGCCCTGAATTGAAGCTCCAGTTCCAGCACCCCGCTTCCCCACCCTCCCAAAAAGTATATGAAGGGCACATCTATGTCTGTAAGTGTGCATTAGTCAGTCTGGCTATGGGACAGGAAAGAATGAGGCAGTGCTTTGATCTATGTGGCATTAGTGTCAACAGCTGCATAGGGGAGATGACGGCATATGATGTTCTGCTTCCCTTTGTAGTGAAGAAGATCATGTGTCCTTTTGGACAGCGCCAGTGTACTCTGGCTTATTAGCCCATTACTCCTTTGAGGGGAAGTATATTTAAATACCAGATCTTTAGTACCATGCATTCTAGTTGGATTTAAACTGAAGGTCAGTTAAACTAGAAGTAAGTGGGAACCCCACCTCTTTTGTACCTGCATGAAGTAGCCTGACAGCAGAGCTTTCTTGATGTTCAGATTATTTTCTTTGGAGCCAAAAGCAGGTTCTGCATAGGGAAGCTCAATTCGCTTGATAATTTCTAAGAGTTCGGCTCGGATAACATCTGCCATCCTGAGAGCAGAGCAGTTGAGGAAGTAATCATGACACCACTTTTCCACACAGTCTGGAGGGAAAGACAAACAAGGGGCCATCTCAGCTTGAAGAGCCCAGGCCTGTGGGCACTGTCTGTAGGACCTGTGGAGTCCCTTCTCCTGAGGAAAAGGCTACCTGAAGGAGTGGTAGGAAGGCAGCAAAGACAAGGTCTCTGGTGGCTGTGGGGCTGGCAGCCCTGGCACTGCCAGGAAGGGGCCATGCTGCCGCAACTCCCATGCAGGTAGCTTTGCACTTTCCCTGAATCTGCAGCTGATAAAAGACATAGCCGTATACAGCCATGAACGTAAAGCGGGAACCAGAAGGCAGTAGAGCATAAATGCTTCTAATCCATGAGACTCTCACATTTCATTTAATAAAAGGATTACTGAGCTGGGAAGGTGGCTTAGTGGTAGAGTGTTTGCCTAGCATGCATGAAGCCCTGGATTCCACTCCTCAGTACCACATAAACAAAAAGCTCAAAGTGGTTCAAGTGGTAGAGTGCTAGCTTTGGGCAAAAGAAGCTCAGGGACAGTGCCCAGGCCCTGAGTGCAAGCCCCAGGATTGGCACTTAAAAAAAAAAGTGGGGGGAGGGAGGGAGGGGAAGGGGAAAAACAAAGGAGGGGGTAACAGTGCTAGATAGGAAATGTACTCATTACCTTACTCATGTAACTGTAACCCTTCTGTACAGTATCTTTACAATAGAATATATACATTAAAAAATAAATGATAGCTTTGAGAAAAAAAAGGCATATCACCAGGCTGACTTGGAGTTAATTATGTTAAGCTTATCTGTCTAGACTAGCTGCAACTTTTTAGAATCCAAGTTCTCTTATCTAGTTTAGTTTGATGTTTTCTTTCCTGCCACCACTAACTAACTTGTGCTTTGGCCTGGGATTCTACGTGGCCCTGTGCAGTAAGCAGATCCTTGTTTACCCTGTCTTGTCTACTTTGGCCTGCTTGGGGCAATGAGACACGTGCTTGATGAATATTGTCACTCATCCTGTTTGTTGTCAAAAGATGCTGCCAAGCCGGACTCAAGCCTGTAACCCTAGCTGCTCCAAAGGCTGAGATCTGAGGAGGGTGTTTTGAAGACAGCCTAGGCAAGAAAGTCCAATAAGCTACTGAGAAAAAGCCAGAAGTGGTGCTGTGGCTCAAGTGGTAGAGTGCTAGCCTTGAGCAAAAGCAGCTCAGGGACAGTGCCCAGACCCTGAGTGCAAGTCCTTGATTACTTTCTGGCTCCATGGGCAGGAACTGTTCCTTCTCAGCTCAGGAATACTAGCTTTCTGTTCTTTATATGATCCTACTACTGCCTTCCAAATTGCTGTCCTAGTTTCCCACATCATTGCCAAATATTTTCCATGTTATCTTTTGGAGGAAAGGTTAAAAGGTGCCTTTTGGAAGACAGGTGAGCAAAGGCCCCTCTTAGCTCAGAGGAGCGCCGAGCTGCCGGCCTTGGCAAGGCTGCTCTGCCCTGCTCTGTCCGCTCCCCACGCATGCAGGCACTTCCAGGTCCTCCCCGGAGAGCGAACGCACCTGCTGTTGGTCAAGCACGTGTGGCTTCTGCACACACCCTCTGCTTTCTGGGCACACTCTACTCTGGCTGGCAAAGATCCAACCAGATCCTCTCCTGCCTCCCTCAGCACACCAGCCCAGTCTTCACTACTCCCTATAGCTGGTGTGGTTTGGCGTTCAGGGGTCTGTGTCCTCTGCAGAGGGAGCGTACCAGGCTACAAGAGGAGTCAGTACAGCTCTGACAGTGGGCTCCCGGAGATGTCTGTTCCTTCTCTTCCACTCTAAGCCTCTGTCCTTGTCACTGTGTCCCCAGAAAGCCCAGGCTAAAGCTGGCTGACCAGGGTGCCAGAGCTCCAGAGATTCAAGCGCACGTGGCAGCAAGTGGAGCAGAAGGATGAGGGTCTACTGAACTCACAAGTCAGTCTGATTTGGGAGATAGGATTGACAGGTAGCTTCTGAAACCATGCGCATTCACTTACGTTCACTGGTAGAGTTCAGAGCAGCGTCTTGGTAGGCCTTGAAAATGTTGATGAGGGTAAAGTGGTCACCTTCAGGATGTGAAAATGTCTTCCAACAAGTCATGGCAGCCTCCTCAGCCCCATGAGGCAGGTGGGAAAAGCAGTTAGGAGCTTTACAATGCAAAAGGTCACATGGTCAACAATACTGAGGACATTTCATCTTGGCAGATGTGCTGGGGCTCATTACTGTTTGTGGACCTGCTCCTTATTGTTATTTACTTGCAAGCCAAGCAATGAGTCATCCTAAGTCTTTCTCCTCTTGGTGCACTTTGCTTTGCTAGTAACAGTTAATACCTGGCTTGCATTCCAGTATAAGCAGAGGGCCCGCAGGGCTCAGGAGCCTACACATGGGGGGAGGCTAAGGCTGTCCTGGCACTGTAGTATTTGGCTTGTACTTCTGGCAAAAGGACATAAGAATATATAGAAGCAAAGATGCACAAAGCTGGAAGGGTGTAATACACACACACACACACACGCATACAGAGTTATCTAGGGAAGAACATTTGTTGCGACACTTTCCTGTATTGCATAGACCTCCTCAGGAAAAGCAAACCTGGTATACTCTGACATGCCTGATTAGGAATCCACTGGAATTGGATTTTCTATACCAACTTTTTATATTTTTCTTTATCCTATTAAAATATTGCACTACCATTTCAAAAATATAAATGAGGGGCTGGGAAGGTGGCTCAGTGGTAGAGCACTTGCCTTGCATGCATGAGGCCTTGGGTTCGATTCCTCAGCACCACATAAGCAAAAAGAAAAAAGCCAGAAGTGGTGCTGTGGCTCAAGTGGTAGAGCGCTAGCCTTGAGCTGAAGAGCTGAGGGACAGCGCCTCAGGACCAGAGTTCAGGCCCCCCCAATGGACCCCAAAAAAAAAAAATTCAGTTATTTGCCAGTTCAAACTGGTTTTCTTCATTCCTGAATTCTTTTAGATTTACGTAGTATTGAAAATGCTATTGTGTTTATTATATCTGTTCAGTCTCCATCAGAAATCCATTTAGTCAAAGCAAACCATTTATCCTCTATCCTCACAGACTCAAGTTGTACAAAAACCAATTTTTTAACTTGTCTGATACAGCGCCAAAGGGCACACCGGAAGCAAATGGCTGCTGTTCTGTTCTACCTAGGAGCTGGAGGACAGATGAGAGCTACTGGATTGCTCTCATTTATCTCAATGCAGGAAGTACAGGGTAGGCGCAGGAGATGTAGATTACCATGGCCTAAGGAGCAACTGCCCTGTCTGCATTGAGGGTGTTTAAAGTCACAGACAGTAAACTTCTGTGCTGTCCAGACTTTGACCATAAACTCCAGGCACTCCAGCTGTGACTTGACCAGATCCCACAGTGGCCAGGTCATCAGGAAAGCTGGAAACCACCAGTGGTTGGGGAAGGACACGGATACTGAGCTGCAGCCCTGGGGGACAGCAGAGATGACCGAACACCCCACACTCTGAACATCCACTGGAAGCAACAAATCAGTTTCCGAAATGCAAGAGACAGGGCTAGAAAGGCCCAGGGAAATCTCCAGAGAACTTGGCAATTACCTGAAGTCTAAAGCTTAGCTTGAACCTCTACCTGGGCAAGGTTAGAACTTCCCTGTTGTTTTTGCTTAAAACTGAGCAGGAACATTATGGTTTCACAGGCATATTTTAGCTTTAGGTTTTGGACACTTCCCCCTCCTGCCTGATGGTGGTTTTACTTTTTTCTTTTTGGCCTGTCGTGGGGCTTGAACTCTGGTCCTGGGTACTGTCCCTGAGCTCTTCAGCTCAAGTCTAGCTAGCAGTCTACCACTTGAGCCATGGTGCCACTTCTGGCCTTTTCTGTTTATGTGGTGTTGAGGAATTGAACCCAGGGTCTCAGGCATGCTAGGCAAGCACTCTACTGCTGAGCCACCTTCCCAGACCCGGTTTTACATCATTCTTGAGAACCCATGGATTAACAGTGGGAAACACAAGACTGTGAGAGGATGCAGTCCCAGGAAGGAAATACACACACATGTAGAAAGCTGGCTTCATCAGTGGGCCTGTGGTATGAGAGGAAACAGCTGATGTGCTGCAGGAATGACATGCAAGATGCATACAGAGTCTGGGGGGCTGGAATGCCAACACAGTCACAGAAAGCAGCAAAGCTGCTGCCTCGTAAGAGACAGGCTCTCTGGCAATTGTTCCTATAAGCATCTGGCGTGGCAGCTAGGCTTGCTTCCCAAAGGGCACTGACGGCTCATTTTATGTCCTAGAATAAAGTTGGTTGCACACAAGGTTAGGAACAGAAATGCCTTCATGATTCTGCCCCTCGTCCTGCTGGCAGAAAGAGGACAGCACTTAGGGTTTCAGCAAATAGAAAGGATGAGTTAATGAATACAGCTCACACACATGAAGGAACCAAGGAAGTAACTAAACAAAACCGAGTAAGTAACTAAACACGACTTGCTAATATTACATTTGACCTTGTAAGATACGTTCCCACTGTAGCCCATCTGATTGTTTTCACTAAAAAGCATAAGGATTTAGACTTGGGTTTCTCTGTGCCTGTGCTCGGTTTTGAACTCAGGGCTTTGTGCTCCTCCCTCACAGCTTTCCAGTTAGTAGCTGGTGCTCAACTACTTGAGCCACACCTCTGGTTTGGAACTTTCACACAAACTGAGCCACAATCTTCTAGGTCTTAGCCAGCCTTCTAAGTAGCTAGGATTACAGCTGTGAACCACTGGCGCCAGGCTTGATGAGGGTTCTGTGTATGTATACTCCATGGTAGATTATATGGAATGTAAGGTTTCTTCCTTCACAGCAGTTCAAAACCAGCCTCCTTTATTCAACGTAACACAATATCAATTTTTTTTTTTGGTCCGGTCGTGGGGCCTGAACTCTGGGCCTGGGCGCTGTCCCTCAGCTCTTCAGCTCAAGGCTAGCGCTCTACCACTTGAGCTACAGCGCCACTTCCGGCTTTTTTTCTTTTTGCTTATGTGGTGCTGGGGAATCAAACCCAGGGCCTCATGCATGCAAGGCAAGCGCTCTACCACTGAGCCACCTTCCCAGTCCACAACATCAATTTTATTGAGCTTCCTACAATGGCGGCTTTATGCCCGGTGGAACAGCTCGTGGCAAAGTCACACTTCTCTTCAAGTTACTCCTCCAAGTACCTTGAAGGGTGACACTCACAGCATTGCCTCCCAGTTCCATGTTCCTTTTCTATGCAACCTCCTGTCTCCTGACATGGTAATGGAGAAGGCCTGTTACACAAAGAGAGGTCATTCATTTTCAACAAGGCCTAAGTCTACTGGCAGCAGATGCGCCAAGACGTAGCAGAGGAGTCCAGCGGTATTGGTGACAGCGTCGTACAGTATGTCTCCTATGTTTGTAGATACAGGCCAAAGTTTTAGATGTGAATGGGAAGAACCCCGGGCTGGCTTCCTTGTCTTCCAGAAGCATCTGTCTGCTCTGCCATGGGCAGAGCTCTCGGGAAGCGGCTGTGTCAGCAGCTTGGGGTTGGTGGTGACTAAGTGCATCTGAGCTCGGTTATTCCCTGAGACTTCTCACATACCAGCTCTGCTCCTGCCCAGGACGTGGCAGGACACAACAGACCAGGCCGTCCTCGTTGGATCCCTCTCTCCTGGTGAATCGCATCCACCCGGCCTAGGCCTCAGAGAGAACCAAACACATCTGGGGATGTACTACTCTGAACACGACCGGTCATCCTGCTGCTCAGGATCGTCCTGCTGCTCGGTGGCCCGGATAAGAGGGGAGGAGGGAGGACATTCGTGGCAAACAGTGGCTGGATTGTGGCGTCTCAGCGTTGCAAGGCTTCAGACGGGTTAAGGTGGCTAAGTATTTTTGTTTCCTGACAATACCCCGTTTCTGCTGTGCCTGGGAAATGTGGCTGTGGCTTCACTCTGACTCATCATTCTGGAAGCAGTGAAATAAAAGATGCCTGCAGCTGGAGCATTCCACTCAACTTGTAACTGAAATACATGAACGGCACACTTGCTGCCCTTTTTAAGATTCATGAAGCATGTGAAAATGAATTTGGCATAATGAGGCTAAGGGCAGTGAATTGAATTCCCTCAATCTGCACCTCATTTCTAAAAGCTGGAGTTTGTTTCTCTCTGGGCTGCCTGAGGACTGACCTCCCAAACTGGGTCAGGAAGCCCAGGACCCACAGAGCACTCAGCAGATACACGGCCTGAGGCAGAGGCCGGGCAGGGAACCTGCGGAGAAACTGGCCAGGAGGTGCACACTGTTGTTTCTCAGGCATTGTGACAAACAACATGAACAGCAGAGCACCCAGACCAGTTCTGTTATTTATGTCTTTGGTAAGCCTGCTAGGACATCTCAGCTACGGGCCTGAAAAGAGGGAAATTAAGGAAGTTCCTGGTATAAAGTGCAAATAAAAACTCAAGTATCAACCAAAGGGCAGTCAGTATTTTCACTTAGGAGCCTTCAGGACAACCAAACACACACTGGCTACAGGCCAGAACACGTCAGCACACTGAAGGAAGCAGGGCCTTGCTGTGGGCTGTGGAAACACTGTCTCTGAGCATAGTGATGCTGGCCTTGGCCTAGGCCCTGAACAGTCTTAGGAGCAGGATGGGTGGGTGGAACTGAGGAAAGCTGGTGGGCAGCTGCTCTCGTGTCTAGGCCCTGCTGACATGGCTCTGTGAGGCACTGTGGTCCTGGGATGGGCGGGGGACCATGGGGATTTTCAGAAGGAAAAGGAGGTGTAAAGCCAGGCACCAGTGGCTCACGCCTGTCATCCTCGCTACTTAGGAGTCTGAGATCTGAGGATCACAATTCAAAGCCAACCTGGGCAGGAAAGTCTGTGAGACTCTTATCTCCAATAAAGTACTCAGAAAAAGCCAGAAGCGGAGTTGTAGCTGAAGTGGTAGAATGCTAGCCTTGAGCAAAAAGGAGTTTATGGATAGCACCCAGGCCCAGAGTTCCAAGGCCAAAGAAAAGAAAAAAAGAAAACAAAAGAAAGGGTAACAGCCAGAAAGGTTCTGAGTCATGAGCCAGTGGAGAGCTGGTCTGTGTTAAGGAGACCCGATAGTGAGTGGCCAGACCATGCTGTCCCAGAGGCTGACAGTCACCTTCTCCATCTGAGAGTCACCTCCTTTCTTTGTGACTCAGTTTCCCTCTCTGTAAAAATGAGCAGATAATAACATCTACCTCAAGGGGCTATTATGTGAAATGATTTAGTCTGTTAGCAAACACCATATACATATACACTGGTTGTTCTGAGAGACCATCAGTGTGTAAAGGACAAGATTGAGCAGAGTATAGCTGCTCGAAAACTTGCCTGACATTTAAAACTAAACAGCCAAAATCCCTCTGGGATGGTGTGCCGAGAGGGGAGGCAGTATTTGCCCTCCACACAGGGCGGGCGCACTGGGAATACCGAGGAAAGCGCGGGGCTGTGCCTGTGCCCTGCGCTGCCAGGTCTGGCACGGGCAGTGGCTCCTTGTCCTGACTCCCTTGCCCTCTCCTTCCGCACCAGCAGCTCTGTGCTGCATCACCGGCTGTCGGAGCAGCAAGGGTTCTGACAAGGCCTGAGACTGTCCGGGAGAGGACTCTCGGTGTGCGCAGCAGAGCCCCAGGAAGAAGCTGCTCGGACTGTAATGGAAGCTGCAGTCCCGGCTGTCCTCACACCAAAGCTGGATCTCAACTGCAGTGAAGTGAAATTCAGGTGAATCTTTCCAAGGTGATATGCTGACTCATAAAAAGGGATCACTGGAACTTGGAGAGAGTGAAGGAAGGGGTGAGATTGTCCAAAAAGAAATGCACTCATTGCCTGAATACATTAAAACTGTAACCCACAGGGAAAAAAAAGAAAACACACACACACACAAATTTATAAAAGGATCAGTTGCCTTTCAACACCCGCTCCAAGAAGCACCAAGCTGCCAGGAATGCATCTTTTACCACCTGTTGATCTCACCCCTCCCTCCACTCCCCACCATCCCTCTCTGTCTCTGCGGGCGGCGGGTCCCCCTGGCTTTGGTGGCTAAGCACAGGCAATTCTCCAGGGACAGCAAAGTTATTTCCTAGGCTTTTGCTTTTATCTTCAGAGCATTTCTGCCTAAAATGGAAAAACAGCTTCACTATCAACCAAACACCTGTGCCTGCCTGCACTGCCAGATTCCCCTTTCTCCTGGGCTGGGTGGGCAGGAAGGAAGAGGAAACATCCCGGTCCATGCCCTGCTGACCTGGTCTGTTCATGAAGTCGCAGTGGCCCAAGCCGGCGATGTCAATCCTCTTCAGGAAAAGCACCATGCTGGTGAGGTTGGCCTCCTGCATTTCTGCGGGCTTAAGTGGCCTCATGTCTTTGGAGGCAAATTCCTCAGTGTATAGGCAGAAAAGTTTTCCTACAAGAAATCAAGGGAGGCAGCTGTAATGGCCCTGGGTTGCCCTGGGGTCCTTGGGCTTCTGTGTCTGTGGGGCTACCTGAAGAAGATGACCCGAGAAGCTGCTTCCGGAGCTCTGCTTGGCTTTGGCTGATTGGCTGCAGAACGAGGGAGTTGGCTCGAATTCTGGGGTTGTACACCTTCAGAGGAAACATGATGCTGTTAGCATCCAGAAACGGCACAGCCTCTCCTGAGGCGCCTGGGCCCAGGATGCTCCCGGTCCAATCCGGTCCAGCCCTCCCCACTGCTGTCCAACCAGGAGAGGGAAGCCAAGGGTTCTCATGAATGGATTGAAAGGCCTACATTCCCGGTGGCTTCCCTACATCTGGGACCTCGGTGTGCCTGTGGAGTGCTGTGCTCGCGCAGGGCAGGCTCACCTCTACGCCGCACCCCGAGCTTTGCTAGGCATCGTAGGAGCACCCACGCCACACCAACAGTGGCTCTTCCCAGTGGCCCGAAGGACAGTGATGGCCAGGGCCCCAGAATAGTGATTAATTCAGTTCTCAAGGGAACTGTTACCAGGAGGGCTCAAGGATGTTCAGTTTGTTCTCCGACTCTGAGAAGCACAGACACTGCTCTCAGAAGCCAGGATGTCTTTTGTATTTTTCTTGGATTTAATTTTAAGGAAAAAATAAAATAGTATTTATTTAAAATAATTTGATTTAAAGTAATTGTTTTCTAAAAAAGATGAATTTTTGTCAACTATCATCCAATACTTGCTGAAATTAAAATCAATATACTTGAGAAATGAATTTCTAGCACATTTCCTGTGAAGAGATGCTAATTACGCGAGGAGTTGCTAAGCTTTGATAAAGAGGCTACCAAGATGTATCTAACAGGTGTAATTTACTGTAAAGCCACAAGGCTGGTGTATAACTCAGTACTTCACTACCATGTATATAAGTCCCGGGTTGGATTCCAGGACAGGAGGGAAGGAGAGTGGACAAGAGGAGGCTGGTTTCATCACTCCTCAGAACCTTCTCTGGCAGGTCAATCCATTTAATTTGAGAGATGCAAACAAGATCATAGTTGCTGGCTGCAATCACTCTGCTCATGTGACCAAGTTGACAGAACCCCAGCCATGAAGTTAGTCCTCCTCCCCTTCTGGTCAGTAGGGTGGCAGTATGATGGTCAGTACAAAGCCCCACCCCCTGGACCTGTGAGGCAGTCCGCACGCCTCCTAACCTCTATGACGACAGTTACCTGTCTTCTTTCCACACCCACGTCAATCACAAATCTGACTGTGTTGTTCCAGATCAAAGACTCCCCAGAGCTGGTGGTCAACACCACTCTTCTTTGATACACTTGGCATGATTTTTCTGTCTCATCAACTGGCTTGAACACTGCACACTTCTCTTTGGGATACAAAGGAACAATCACCAGCTCTCCGAGGTCAGAGTGTAAGTTAGATCCTTCTTGACAGAACATTTCATAGACCTTTTCAATGTCCTAAAGCATTAACAACAAAAGGAATCCATGAGAATAACGTACAATAAAAACTTTAAAAATATCAGAACTCAATGAAATCTTGTGCAGTAATATTACCTACCATACACAGACAAAGGTGCTGCCATGACCCCACCATGTGTCCAGCCTGATGCCATTGCTCACACTCATTGACAATGGTAGGAAAAGAGAACTCAGAATTGCACAACACACTCTGCATGTCCTCTACAGGCATATATTCCAATACATTTGGATCATTCTAAACCCAGGGGCACTTTAAAGTAGCAGAGACAATAAAGTAGGCAGGAATACTCACTGTTGACATCTCTGCATGATCCAGGCATTTAGAAAAAACTGCTTACACACATGTCAGCTATGCTGAGAAAAATGCAAACTATCTGCCAGCCAACTGTGTACAAACCCTGGTACAGACAGCTCAAAAGGTAAGGCATTTAGTTCATGTCCCTCTACTTCTCTCATCACAGCTAGAGTCTGAGAACTTCATCTAAAACATCAACTGAGGTAATTCTATTTTTTCTATTTCTTTGAAGAGAGCCTTGTAGACTCTCAAGTGGAAGAGACAAGGTGACGTTCGATGCAATAGAATTCACCAATAATCCTGGCTGAGAAGCTGACTTCACTTCTATTCCCCATTTGTCGGCTCATGACTACAGCTTCTTTTCTATGCCATTTGTAGGATGGGCTGACATTAACTCAAGGGTTTTGGAGGAGAGATCTGCCTAGAGAAGGAACCAGGCATCTGAGATCTTGAAGAAGTGGGGCAGCTGCCTCTTAGTGAGTCTGTGGCTAAATGTAACCAGAAAAAGAGGCAAAGGCTGTGTATGGGTCTGTGTACTGCAGCTACGCAGATCTCTTTCTTTGCTCACATTCATAGAGCTGTTCTGCTCACACTGCCCTATAGTTGCTTACTGAACAAACAGCATCATTGCTCATCAAGATGAATGAAAAACTGCCAGTTGGAAAAGCAGGTAAAACTTTTTTTGCGGTATGTGGTGGCATATGCCCAAGGCTAGCCTGGGCAGCGTAACAAGATCCTGTTACAAAAGCAAAGCAAAGCAAAGGAAAGCAAAAGAAAGAGAAGCGAGGTGGGAGAGAGACAGACTTAGTGGTAGAGTGCTTGCCTAGCATGTGTGAAGCCCTACGTTCAATTCCTCAGTACCCCATAAACAGAAAAAGCCAAAAGTGGTGCTGTGGTTCAAGTGGTAGAGTGCTAGCCTTGAGTAAAAGGAGCTCACAGACAGATAGCGCCCAGGGCCCGAGTTCAAGCACCAGGAGTGGGAAAACAAAATGACAAGACAATCAATATCTGTAAAACTGTCTGAGAGGAACCAAGAAAGCTGTGACCATAGATTATGGAGCAAAGCAAACCTTTCCCCAAATCACAACCAGGCCGATCCTAACAGTGCCGGGGAGCAGGGCAGAACAAGGAAAGCCTGGCGTGCCCCAGATGGCAGGGAAGGCAGACGAGACAGCGCCTGCGGAACTCGGGACGGAAACACGAGTAAAGGCTGCCTGCAGGGGAGGTCTGCAGAAGTTGGCAGGCCTGCTATGGCTGTCCAGTTGCCCAAGGCAGGGCAGAGGAGCTGCTGGGCCTCTGGGGGAGCTGGGGGGGGGGGAGGCCGTTCAGGGAGCCGTGGCAGTGGTCACAGCAGCACCACACTCCGCTGCGGCCAAGGCGGCTCCATCACTCTGCAGTGCTCATGGCCCTGGCCCTTCCAAGATGTCAAGCCCGGGAGGCTAAGGTGTGACCCAGGGGACGCAGACACGTGTCTATGCACCGCGAGCCTGGTGAACGCACACCTTCTCCAGTCTATCTGTGCAAGTCACCAGTGACAGGAACTCACAGCTCATGTTATGCCCACAAGAATCAAATGTTCTAACACATCCTCATTCCAGTTCTGCTAGGAGCTTCATTTTCCAAAAATTCATTTTGGAAGTTTTTTTTCTTTGAGACATTCTTACTACACAACCCAGGCTGTCCTGGAACTCACAGCCTTCCTGCCTCAGCCTTCAGAGTGCTGTGATTACAGGTATGCACCACTGGGCCTGGTTGCAGTTCAGAATTTTTGCTTACTTCTAGGCAGCACTGGGGTTTGAACTCAGGGCCTTGAGCTTGCTAGGCAGACCATTTGAGCCATACTTCCATCCCTTATTTTAATGTGAAAGATGAAAATGATGGCTCATCCTGTCAAGTTTTAATTATATGTTTATACATATTCATCAATAATACAGATTATCTATTTATACATACATGTCCTTTTTCCACTGGCAATTCTATCTCTCAATTGTTTTACATTCCTAATGTGGCCATTCTTCTCTTTTTCCTTAGACTTCACTCAGATGCCCTGAGAACACTGTTTCCATAAATACTCTGCCTCCTTAATCATTTCCTTACTTTCTTGCATATCTTCAATCATTCAGCTTAGGGTATGACAACAGAATAAACGACTAATAGATAATGATACACATCTTAAGAAAATGTGAATCAGGGGCTGGGAAGGTGGCTCAGTGGTAGAGCGCTTGCCTTGCATGCCTGAGGCCCTTGATTCGATTCCTTAGCACCAAATAAGCAAAAAGAAAAAAGCCAGAAGTGGCGCTGTGGCTCAAGTGGTAGAGCGCTAGCCTTGAGCTGAAGAGCTGAGGGACAGCGCCCAGGCCCAGAGTTCAGGCCCCATGATGGGACTCAAAAAAAAAGAAAGAAAAAGAAAATGTGATCTTGGCATCATTTAGAAACTCCACATGTGCTAGTCATGCATCAAAGAAGCAGATAAAGTTTAAGTGATTGCAAACCATCTGAAGCTCCCAGAGCTAGGATCAATGTCCTTCATGTTCTGAGCCGAGTGGAAGGGCCTCTCGTCAGCGCCTCCTGAGAGCACACGGAAGCTTGGGCAAGGGCTCCAACCTGCAGTGGCTCTGGTTTGCTGGGCAGGCAGCTCTGCATCAGACAGTTTCCTTTGTTTTGTTTAATCTCTGGAACCATTACTTATGTGGGTCAGGGTCTGAGAGCGAGTGCTTTGACTCTGAGTGAGAAGATGCAAGGAAGAAAGCGCAGGTTCTGGTTAGTGTCCAAAAATACAGGTCTAATTCTAGAGATTCTGGAGGCTTTTAGATCCGGCCCCAGAACTAAGTACAGTCATAGCAGCTGTCACACACACACACACACACACACGAACCCAAATGGCCCTTGACTGTATGAATCAGTAATGAACAGAAAAGATGCTAAATTCTATACATCTACGAGTTCTCTCCAGAGAAGTTTGCAAGAAACCCAAGTTCAGCATTGTCTCATTTACTTTTCTTCCCCCCTTTTTGGTGATACTAGGGTTTTTGGCCTTGGGCTTGCTAGCCAAGTGTTCTACTACTTGAGCCGCACTCCCAGTCTTTTTGGCTTTCATTGTTTTTTGAGTTGGTCTCTTATGCCCAGGCTGGTCTGGACTGTAATACTTGCATTTAACCTTCTCATGGAGCTGGGATGACAATGGGTAGCACCATGCCTGGCTTTTTATTAGTCAAGATGGGGGTCCTGTGAACTTTTTGCTCAGGTTAGCCCTGAACTGCAACCTTCCTGATTTCTATCCTCCCCCTCTCTCCATCCTCCCTGATAGCTAGGATTAGGACTGTCATTCATCCTTTAAGAGAAGGGACCGGGCTGGGATTGTAGCTTAGTGGTAGAGTGCTTGTCTAGCATGCATGAAGCCCTGGGTTTGATTCCTCAGTACCGTATAAACAAAAAGTTAGAAGTGGTGCTGTGGCTCAAGTGGTAGAGAGCTAGCTTTGAACAAAAGAAGCTCAAAAGGGCAGTGACCAGGCCCTGAGTTCAAGCCCTAAGACTGGCAAAAAAGAAAAAAGAAAAGGGACCTAGTCCAGGGAACTGACTTGTGGGCAGTGCTATGGGTGATAGTTTAGTCCAGGGAACTGACTTCTGGGCAGTGCTATGGGTGGTATTTTAGCCTCAGGTCCCACTGACTACTAAGGAGCATGTGTGGGGAATCTGCTGTTGCTTCACTCCATGCCAAGTTTCCACTGTTGTTCAAAGTGCAAGTGATTTTAACCGTTGTTTATCTGTGCTTCTTAAGTGTAAAACAATGAGGTGTGATGAAATCAAACATTTAACCAGTGAGTTAGCAAACGGAAACCACTCTAGCTATTAAAAGCTTCCCAAATGAAGTACCTGATAAGAGTATTCTTTCAGGTCAGAACATCACTTACTTGCTCACAGGCCAGGAAGACTACAACGTCACCCTTCTCTCCCGAGTGGTGAATTTCAAAGATAAGCTGTAAAATGGACTGGAAGGAGTCCTTGTGCGCCCCACTGAGGTACACCACCTCCACAGGGTGCTTTCTCTTCACTTCTATGAGAGGCACGTTTCCATAGTAAGAACTAAGTTTGCTGATCAGCAGAGGTGAGGAGTGAATTATGAGCTTCAGTTCTGGTCTTGCTAGCAAAACGTCTTTAAGAAGTCCAAGTAACACATCAGTTGCGATGCTTCTTTCATGAACGTCGTCTAAGATGATGACCCCATAGCTACCCAAGAAAGGACTGGACATCATTTCTCTTTGCAACATGTCATCAGTACAGTACCTAGGAAGAGGAAATTGTGAAGTTAGAAGAGTCTTATGGAAAGCCATGCAAAGAACTTCCTGACAGCAAAATGCCTTTCTCTGAAATCTGTTCTCAGGAGACTTTATTTCACAAAATGCCTTGTCAGCTAAGATTCCTCCTCCTCTTTTTTTTTTTTTTTAACCAGTGGAGGAAAGCTGAAGAAAATATATAAGAAGGGCTGCTCTGGCTCAGGCTCAGAGCCTAGCCCCCACATGAGGACTTCCCACTGCAGGGACGTGGTGGGGGAGCGGATTACCAAGTACATCAGTGAAGAGTAAGGAGGCACAAGTACCTAAAAAGTCATCATCCAGCTGGGGCAGCATGCAAACTGGCCAGAATGTCTGGAAAAAGCGCAATGAGGATTTTAATAATGTTTTCTAGAAGTTCTTTCTTGGGATCGTATTTTAAAAATAATAATAGCTACCTATTAGTCATTCAATACTATACATATATCTGATGCAGTTTGCCTGACTTATTGCTTGAAGAAACCAGTTTTATAAGGTTCCTGCCCATGTAAGGTATTTATCTATCCTTGTACACACTAGCCCTGAGGCTACACCATGTCCAGAAAGGCCCAAGTGAAGGGTGGGGGCAAGTGGAAGCTGCCATTCGGAGAGGGTTCTGCTCATCTTCCCCAGAACGCCAGCCCTAGTTCACTGCAACCAGCCATTAACAAGCGGTATCTGTGTGCCCTATGTTAGCTTTCTCTCAGGTGTGTGGAACTTGGAGACGTAAGAGGCAGAACGTGTTCATGTGATCACGACACCACCCCTGTCAGCACCTTGGGCACGCAATCTCTCATGAGCTGGAGGCTTCCTCTGAGCTTCACCTCGTCGGTTTCCCTTTGTCTACTCTCAACAGCAGTGCGTCTTAGCTGTGAGCAAACTATATTTTGGACTCTACCAACAAATCCTCCTGGCAAATCACCAGACCCAGGCTGGTCTCAAGAACCCAGACAGTTCTTAATCCAGCTTCAAAAAAAAAAAGAATGGAAGCAAATTCTTTGTATCTCGTGGTGTGTGTCAGGCACTGGTGGCAGCACGTACGTTTCTCGTTTACTTACATCTTGAAGGTAGGCAGCACTGCCAACTCAGATTTACAAATGAAGTATCTGAGGCTCGCAGGTGTCCTATCAAGGGTCACCAAGCCAGGGCTTGGTCACAAGCCAAGGCTGAGCATCGACCTCCTCGATGCCATTCGATGGTAAGGTACCTGCTCTTTCTGTCATTTTATGACACCAGAGGATTTGCTCGTCTACCATCCTTTTCTCTTTTTTTGGGGGGGGGGGTCCGGTCCTGGGGCCTGAACTCTGGGCCTGGGCGCTGTCCCTCAGCTCTTCAGCTCAAGGCTAGCGCTCTACCACTTGAGCCACGGTGCCACTTCCGGCTTTTTTCTTTTTGCTTATGTGGTGCTGGGGAATCAAACCCAGGGCCTCAGGCATGCAAGGCAAGCGCTCTACCACTGAGCCACCTTCCCAGCCCTGCCATCCTTTTCTTACATGTTTTTCTCCATGTTTTACCAGACGCGTAGCAGCAAATTGTGGATTCCCTTTTCTCCAACCTCAAGAAGGAACTACTTTACTACAACAATACTGAATTTTGTGCGAGATGCAAATAAATAGATTCATCATTTTTGCTAAAGTTTAATTAGTAAAATATAATGTTAGTTATTATTCCTTCATTTCAAAACTGTCTGCATCTATGCTTCTTCTATGTCAGAAATTGAATTGCTGTTCCTTTTCCATATTGACTTTATAGGAAGCAGTATGCACCATAAAGCACAGAAGAAAATGAGTTACACAAATCTATCCAGGCTTAATTTTAAAAAGAGAAAACAGTGACCTATTTAAAACTCTGCTAGAGGTAGGCACCAGTGTCTCATACCTGTAATCCTATCTACTCAGGAGGCTGAGATCCGAGACCAAGGTTCAAAGCCAATCCAGGCAGGAAAGACCATGAGACTCTTATCTATAATTAACCATCAAAAAGCAGAAGTGGAGCTGTGGCTCAAGTGGGAGAGAGCTAGCTTTGAGCAAAACACCTCAAGGACAGTGCCCAGCTTCAGAGTTCAAGCCCAGGACAGGCACCAAAAACAAACAAACAACCACCACCACCACAACCCTTGGCTAGACTCCGCAGGCCAGGCCTGAGCCTTCCTGATGATTACAGGAAGTTAAGGTGTCACAGAGGCTCGCTTCTAAAACTCACTGCACCAGGATATGTTTATGTTGACAATGCCTTAAAAAGCAGGATTACCAAAACCATGTAAATAATATTTTCACATGATGCCAAAGTTTCAGGTAATGCTTTAAATTCTTCTAAGACTTATAAAAGCCAATGATATAACACAACATTTTAAAGTCTTACTAACTTTTTTCTGCAATTTTATATATGGAGTCTGACTTCATGAAAATTAGAAATCTTTTCATTTCTGAGAACTGAAAAGGTATTTAAAACCTCTATTACTTCTACAAAAAAAAAGATTCAGACACACACATTTAGGTATTAGAACTTGTAGGACCACTGAGCTATATCTCAGCCCAAGATATCTTGATATGTAAGTATGTGGTCCAAGAAGATTTTAGGTATATAATATTTAGGTATCTGGTATTTGTAAAAAAGACCAGAAAAAAGTTTAAGGAATAACTATATTGTCCTATTTAGCTTCAAAAAAGGAGGAGGAAGAAGAGGTAGCAGGCAGAAAGAGAGTTCCTTGCTGTTTTGTTTTGTTGCTGTGCAGTGGCCTTAATGTCCAGATCCTCCTGCCTTAGTTTGCCAAATACTGGGATTATAGAAGTATGTCACCACATCCAGCTAAAGATAGCTTCACTAAATGCCTATTATATGTTTGATAGATTAGCTACTAAGGAGTTATAAAGAAAATGAAAAAGGGAATATTGAATATAGACTTTTTTTTTGGTTGTAGGGCCTGGGCACTGTCCCTATGCTTTTGTGCTCAAACCTAGTGCTCGACCACTTGGAGCCACAGCGCCACTTCCAGCCTTCTGGTAGCTAACTGGAGGTAAGAGCCTTAGGGACTTTTCTGTGCCATATGGTTCTGAACTGTGATCCTCAGATCTCAGCCTCCTGAACAGCTAGAATTACAGGCATGAGCCACCAGCTCCTGGCTAGACCTGCTTTTTATAATTGGTAATCAACATGAAGTTGTCCTTTGACTTAGGGTTTAGAGATATAGCTCAATGGTTCAGTACTTGCCTATCATTTGTAGGCCCTTAGGTTGTTCAACCCCCAATTTCATTTAAAAAATCCTCTGATTTAAATAATTATTCAATCTGAGATTATTCAAAATTATAACTAGCAGTCCTCTCAAAGAAAATGAATTTGGTTCTAACAATAGTTGTAGATACAAATTTAATTATAATACAAACAACTACCACCTATACCAACTGTATTTTGGTGGTATATAGTCACTCCTTAGTTCTCATAACACCCAGATTCACAAATGAGGAAACCTGGGGCCAGAGTAAAGGTAGGTAACACGTGTTAAGTTCATAGTGGTGGTGAAGGCACTCACTCTGTGTCTATAAAACCATGTGAGTTCATGTGAATACTTGGTCTCCTCTTTAGAGCACAGTACTATTTTCTCTAATCATATCTGCTCACAATGCAGTAGTGTGTCTATGACTTTACTGGTTTGGGGAAATGTCACAGTAGAAAAGAAGGCCCAATGTCTCAACAACAGACATAAAGTCAAACAAAACACAGAGGCTGGAAGTGGTGCTGTGGCTCAAAGTGGTAGAGAACTATCTTGTGCAAAATTGCTCAGGGACAGTGCCCAGGGCCCAGGTTAAAGCCCCTATGACAAAACAAAAACAAAAAGGAAAAAGAATCACATCCCCTCCCAAAACACAGAAGCCATGAGAAGACAAGGCAGCTGCCTGCAGGAGACAAAGCTGGACACCATCTCCCATACTCTTTGCCTGTATGCTGCAGCCCTACGGTGCATGAAGGCACTTGCTCCTACTCAGACATAGTCCTTTCTATAAGACATAGTCCCGTGACTGTCAGAATTGAATGCCTGGGCTTCTTACTACAGAATCACCCCATGTAAGACAAGTTCATCATGTGACCAAGTTTAAAAGTTAAGTGATATCCTGGCCTCCTCATGTGTCATTAGTAAACTGAGCTATCTTCATAGCGCTCTCTCTCTCTCTCTCTCACACACACACACACCCCTGATTCCACTCAAATAGCATAATTTCACAGAAAGGCAAAGTCAAACAGCAGGAAGTGAATACTCAAAAAGGGTGGGCTGGGGCCAGGGGGAAAGGAGTGAACAAATGAAGAGGAGAAAAGAAGAATTCAGTGAAGAATCCAATTTTATATCCTATAAAATTAAGATAGAGGGAAGGGGTGGGTAGGGAAGAAATAGGTGACAATGTTGAAAGATACTGTTGGTCAAAAATATTTTATTCATAAATTGCCTGATTAAATGGCATTCCTTTGTACAAAGATAATGAAAAAGAAAACTATATCTAAGAGTCTTTTTCAAGGGTTTCCAAAGCCTGCCTGGCACTAAAGATATAAAAACACAAGCAGTGGAAGTGGAGCTGTGGCTCAAAGTGGCAGAGCACTAGCTTTGAGCAAAAAGAGTTCAGGGACAGTGCCCAGGCCTTGAGTTCAAGCCACACAAGTGATAAACAACAACAACAAAAACCATCAATTGCCAGGCATAGTGGCTCATGCCTGTATTCCTATCTACTTAAAAGGCTGAGATCTGAGGCTTACATGATTTGATGCCAGCCTGGGCAGGAAAGTCCCATAAGATTCTTATCTCCAATTAACCACCAAAAAAAAAAATCACAATTAGAGTATTAGCCTTGAGCAAAAGAGCTCAGGAACAGCAACTAAGCCCTGAGTTCAAACCCTACAACCAACAACATAAATAAATAAATAAAATACTAAGAGTGACTTGAGAGCTTAGTCATAGTTATCACTTAATTAAAACTATGGCTTTAAAATGTAAACATTTCAGAGTAAAAACCAAGTTAAAGAATAAATTCAGGAGCCCTTTGCCCGGTGGTAGTGTAGGATATGTCCTGTCTAACCAGTCCTGCATTAGCCTGTAAGTGTCAAACAGGAAGGGAGGGTTGGGCATTTCTCTTGTGTCACTCACGTAGCACTTACAGAAGAGGTCATTTGTAAATACATACTAACTAGATATATTACAAAGGCAGTATGTCCTGGATAGATTCAAGTAGGAGTGTGGTTGATCTATAGATTCCCTGTGGTCCAACACTGGCTGGAAGAAAAATATCTTCTATTTCTGAAGATAAACATAGGGAGAGCAACTTGGTTTAAACCACAGGAGTTATGTGGGCTTTCTGAATGGGCTCTGAGCTGGGCCTGAGTCTGCAGCAGCCAGTGGGGCTGAGCAACATGCCCTTCACCACCAGTTACTTTGCACCTGCTTTAGATGCTGGGGTATGGGTGTACGGAAAGCCACCCCGCCCTGCTCCTCTGGAACATGCCACACAAACGGATGAATGATGCGCAGATACTCCAGAGGCCAGGTGTGCTGGGGTCCTCAGCTTCTGCAGGGGTGGGCAGTGGTAGGGGCAGGGGAATCCCATGGGCAGATCACATCTGGCTGCCAGCAACTGTGGCCACTTCCTTAAGGTGTCAGGCAGACCCTGACTGTCAGTGATAGGACACTGCTTGGCCCAGAGTAGTAACTTTCCAAGTTTCCTGAATCCTTTTTGCATTTTTCTTTTTTCTTGTCTTCTTTGAATCAAGCTCTTTTCCTTTTTCTTTCTTTTTTTCTTTCTTTCTTTTTTTGTCAGTCATGGGGCTTGAACTCTGGGCCTGGGCACTGTTATAGTCACCACCTAATTAAAACGATGACTTTAAGATGTAAACATTTAGGAGTAAAAACCAAGTTAAGGAATGAATTCAGGGGCTCTTTGCCCATTGGTGTTGGATGCCATGTCCTATCTCTTCAGCTCTTGAGCTCTCGAACTCAAGGTGAGTGTTTTTCTACCACCTGAGCCACAGTGCAACTTCCAGTTTTCTGGTGGTTCATTGAAGATAAGAGTCTCACCCTTTCCTTCCCTGGGCTGGCTTTGATCCTCAGATCTCAGCCTCCTGAGTAGCTAGGATAACAGGCATGAGCCACTGGTGCCCGGCTTTTTTTCTTGTTCAAAGGAAATTTCATAATGAAGCTGGACCACCAAAAGGAGATACAGCAACTTACAGTAGCCACAGAGATGGCTGAGAAGTACAGTGGGAAAACACAGACCTGAGTGGACACAGTGGAGGCTGAGGCAGGTCTCCCAATGCCCAGCCGAAGGTTTCCATACACACGAATGGGAGAAGGGGCATTCTTCATGTGATGGAGGGAGGGGGGGCGCTGTCAGGCCCAGAAGAGGTGTGGGCCTTCCAAACACAGAAAACTGCAGAGATAAAGGTGCACAGGTGTGTAGACACGGGCTCACACAGAGCCACAGGTGCCCCCGTGGCTGGGCAGTGATGTGGACCCAGCAGGAGGCAGAACTTTACAATAAGGTGGTGGGTCTCTGCAGGCCAAGATAATAATGGGTTGGAGTTTTTGCCTGAGGATTCTGGGGAGACATGGAAGGTATTGAGATAAAAGGTCTCTGAGGAGGTCAGTGTGGGAGACAACTGTTGTATGTCAGGCTGGAGACCACATTCATGAGAACACAGATGCTTGACTTAATAGATGGCAAGAAAATGCCTCTTCTAGGACTATTAGAACCCAAGCCAAGAGTCAGAGGGAGCAAAGAAGCCTTCCAAACCAACCTCAGGATGGTCTCACTGGTACAGCAGTTTTCAAAGGGGATCATGTAGCCCACTTCGTGTCCAATGTTAACATCCATCTCGTCCGCCACTCGCAGGGCGAGCTGAACTGCCGTCTGCTTGTGGACCTGGGTGCAGATCACGCTCCCATGTTGGTAGTGGATGGAAAGGCAATATTCAGCACACCACTGAGGAACCTTTAATAGGCAACAATGACAGGATCAGTGCTCACTAGGAAGGACAAACGACGACAGACAAACTGAAAAACAAAACAGCCAAGGGGCTCGTTCTTTCTGGCTGCAGGATTCACTTTAGTTTTTTTTATTTTATTTTTACTTTTCACTATTTTTTCTTTTTGCGCTGGTACTAGAGCCTGCACTTAGGGCTTCGTGATCTCCTGTAGCCATTTTACTCCCATCTGAGCCTTGCCTCTATCCAGGGTTCACGTCCTAAAGGACTTTTCTCCTATCCATGAATCATCAGTGGACTGAATTAAATCTCACAGAGTGGTACTCTGAGCAATCTGAATTATGTGCTATTACTACTCAAAATTTAAAAATATAAGGATATATGTCAGGCGCCAGTGGCTCACATCTGTAATCCTAGCTATTCAGGGGTGGGAACAGAGATCTGAGAATCAGTGTTCAAAGCCAGCCTGGGCAGGAAAATTTGAAGCCAGGAACGAAGTCTGTGAGACTACTATTTCCAATTAGTCACTCAAAAAGTCACAAGTGGACTGTGGCTCAAGTGATAAGATTACCAACCTTGAGAAAAAAAAAAAAGGCAAGGAATAGTCTCCAGGAACAGAGTTCAAGCCTTAGTACCAGCACAAAAAAGACATATGTTTTAAAAGGGAAACTGTAAAACCATATCTGACTCACAGATTAAAAGGTAGAATAAAAATAAAAATGAAAAAGATCATGTTTTTCTTTGTGTTTTGTTTTTGTCAATCATGGGCTTGTATTCAGGGCCTGGATGCTGTCCCTGAGCTCTTTTGCTCAAGACTTAGTGCTCCACCACTTTGAGCCACAGGTCCACTTTCTTTCTTTTTTTTTTTTGTGAGTGGTTAATTGAAGAATCTCACAGGGACTTTCCTGCCTGGGCTGGCTTCGAGCCGTGATCCTCAGATCTCAGCCTCCTGAGTAGCTATGATTACAGCAGGAGCAAGCAGGGCTCAGCAAAAAAAGTATTTAAAATTTTTCAAAGACTAATATATGTACAGATCACAATTAAAACAGCTTCTTGTATCAGCTATTATAAGTAGTGTAAGTAGTGTATATATTAAATACCACTTAAATGAAAAATGACTCAAAATTAAAGCATTTACATTTAAATTTACATGCTCATAACAAATAACCACATAAGTCTATTTAACTTTTCTCTGGCAATAGAAACTAAAATATCCTGGCAATTTATTACCTAAAAATAAAGTGAGTCAGATAATCAACCAACTCATGTGGATTTGGAAAGAACTGATTGCAAGCACCCCTGCTCTTCAGCTATTTTATTTGAAAAATCCTTTTATCTAAAATGTTATATATTGGCTGATTTTTATCAAGTTCATTTATGTATTAGGAGAATATACTAAATTCATTTCTGTAGCACTGTTTACTAATTAAGCTTTGATACATCCATTAAAAATAATTTCAAGAGTTTTAAAATAGATCTGAGGTATTGAAACCTTGTAACATTTTTAATTGTCTTGAGGTCTGCTATTTACTAGTCTCATCCTGTAAATAGATTTTAATCTTGGGTTTTTAATCTCACTATAATTTGATAGCACTAATAATTCCAAAATGATTTGCTGCTGTGGCTGCATATCTGCAGTGATTAAAAAGTACAAATGTATTTCTTCCATGTTAAGATAGGCCTATCTTAATGCTTGCTTTATTTTGTAAAAGGAAGAAATTGTAGGATGCTGTAGTTGGGAAATCCAGAATTGAGGCATGACCTAGGGGATAATTAAGTACCTACAGGACCTCAGTCAGGGTCACGACTTCCCTACTTTTGCTTCCTTACTTGTAAAATAAGTGTATTTAGGGCACAACAACTGCCCTTCGAGTTTCAGGTCCCCGGTGCTTTCTCCAAGGCTTGGTGTAACCCCTCCAACTCCCTTCTGGGCATCGGTGGGCTCCCAGGCCCCCCGGGGGGGTGTGTCAGTGCCCAAAGCCATGACTCCTCACATCCTGGACTGGGCTATGGCCTCTGATAGAGAGGAGGCCCATCTTCTGGGTCACCAAGTTACTCCAGTGCTCAATAACTATATGCTAAGTGCATAGAATGATTTCATATACTTTCCAGAAATGTTTAAAAATTCTTTTTGTTTTGTTTTGTTTTTTTTTTGCTGGTCGTGGGGCCTGAACTCTGGGTCTGGGCGCTGTCCCTAAGCTCTTCAGCTCAAGGCTAGCGCTCTACCACTTGAGCCACAGCGCCACTTCCAACCTTTTCTGCTTATGTGGTGCTGAGGAACCACCTGAACCCAGGGCCTCATGCATGCAAGGCAAGCACTCTACCACTGAGCCACCTTCCCAGCCCCGAGAAATGTTTAAAAATTCTATTACCGGGCTGGGAAGGTAGCTCAGTGGTAGAGCGATTGCCTTGCATGCATGAGGCCCTGGGTTTGATTCCTCAGCACCACATAAGCAAAAAGAAAAAAGCTGGATGTGGCACTGTGGTTCAAGTGGTAGAGCGCTAGCCTTGAGCTGAAGAGCTGAGGGACAGCGCCCAGGCCCAGAGTTCAGGCCCCACGACTGGACCCCCACCCCGCAAAAAAAATTCTATTATCCTATATAGTCTACCTTGAATTCTAACCTAACTAGGAATTTATATAAAACTTTGTCTCCCTCATTCTCTGACAAGTAATGTTCTTTTCTTTTCTTTTTTTCTGGTTGTAGGGCTTCAACTCAGGACCTGGGTGCTGTCCCTGAGCTCTTTTGCTCAAGGCTAGCACTATACCAGTTTGAGCCTCAGCTCCATTTCTAGTTTTCTGTTTTTGTTTTGGAGTGGTTAATTCGACATAAGAGTCTCACTGGGACTTTCCTGCCTGGGCTGGCTTTGAATGGCAATCCTCAGATCTCAGCCTCCTGAGTAGCTATGATTATAGAAGTGAGCCACCAGCATCTGGCTGTGAGGTTCTTATTCTTGACAAATCCTTACCTGCAAACTGATTTCCTTCCTGTCTGAGTTCACCATTTAGGGTTCCTGGCCAAGAACTTGGATAGCACTTAGATGCAAAGCTTTGTTAAAATCACCTTTTGAAATTTTAGCTCCCCAATAAGGAGGAAGGCTTATAAGCACATAAATGTGGTTCACATTTGTTTCTAATATTAGCAATGGACATGGTAGGGACAATAGGCATTTGGATGCATGGATGGTTGTGTGGATAAGAACATCAACATCAACATCATCATCATCATCATGGAGAGAACAGAGCACTAGTACTCATTCCTGTAATCCTAGCTACTAAGGAGATTGAAATCTCAGGATCAAGTTTCAGAGCCAGCCAGGACAGGTAAGTCCATTAGACTCTTACCACCAATTAACCAGGAAAAAGCTGAAAGTGGAGAATTATCTCAAATTACAGAGCACCACTCTTGAGTGAAAAGGTTAAGGGACAGTGCCCAGGCCCTGAGTTCAGTACCAACACACACACACACACACACACACACACACACACACACACGCACATGCACACACGCGCGCACACACACACACATACACACACACACTAAAAAAAGGGAGAGAGAAAAATTGGGGCTCAGGACTATGCATGGGAGAGAAGTAGTAACAAGACCATAACAAGACCAAGGGTCATTTCTTTCAGGGGAAGAATAAGTAGTACTCACAGCTAATTGTATCAGAAAAAAACAAATATTACATGGTTTCTAATTTAATATACTGAAGTTAATGCCACAATTAACAAGAAATTAGTGAAACAAAAAGGATGAATGAAATGATACAGCAGTGTTCTTTTGGGGGGAAGGAGGAGTTAGCAGGCTAGGAGGTAACATTTGGGAAGTCAAGATGGCAGCCAGTGGTAAGATCACCTAATCAATGATGACATCAGGTGAGATAGCTTGAGAGTGACCTCAAAAGAGGCTGGACCCTGAGACACAAATGGGGTGGGTGCTCTCAGGGAGCGATGGAGGCCACAAGGAAACAGAACTGGCACAGTCCTGGTATAACAAATAAAACATGAAGTGGAAGACTGGGCATAATGTATTTTGCTTAGAGGCCACATTCACAGCTGAGCAAAAAATCACAGCTTCCACAGAAAGCCCACTCAGTTGTGGCTCTGACTAGACAAGATGTAACAATGATACACAGATTCTAACAGCAGGGAGGTTCTGAAGAGATGAAGAAGCTGCGTGGGACTGTGTCCTGTGTTAGACTTTCTGCACTGGAGTACTCTGGATCACTCTAGGCAAGCTAAAATGTTCTGATTTCAACTCTTCAGAAAACTCAAAGCACTGGCTGGAAATGTGGACATTTGATAATTTCAGGGGACATTAAGCGTGGAGCTTTCCAAGGAACTCTAGCTTTGGCTGCTCTGTGATAAATGCTGCATCAGTGCTGCTGCTCTGATCCTGATTATCCTCACCGGGAACTTCTCCATTGTCCCAGGAGCGCCCTCCAATTCTCACAGGAACGCCTGTGGAAGAGGCCTCACTTCTCTCTGGAAGATCTTCCCCACCAGGACTTGGGGTGAGCAGATGCCCAGCAGGCACTGTGGGAACCAGGGAAGCGTGGGAAACTCCATTTGGCTCAGTTCTGTCTTCAGAGAAACTAAATTCCAGGCCATTGTGACTTAAATGGCACTTAACATGTAGCAAGAGTTATACAGCATGATGAAATAAAATTGAACTGCTCCTTTAACAGTTTTATAAAGTCTTATAGAGCAACTTTTCTGAGAGTTTTGGCAACATACAACTCTCAAATTTATATACTCTGACTGATGGGACATCTTTTCTCAGTCTGCATCTAAACGCAGCTTTATGTACTGAGATGTGCCTACATGTTCAAGTCTGAGCAGTGAGGTGTGCCTTGTCCTCTGGCCCAAAGCAGGTCTGGGCTTGATGGGACACATTAGAACAGGTGATAAGAACATGCAAATTGGTCTCCTATCTCCTGCCCGCAAGGAAATCATAGGATTCAGGCCAACCTGCTGCTATGGTAAGATGGGTGGGTAGCCAAGACC